ATTGTAGAGGTTTCTGGAGCAAGTGGTGGCACGTCATCTTGCGGGACAGAGAGGGGATTTCCCTGCCAGAGGAGCATGAGGCCAGCTCGTGACACCTCTGGGCGAGGTGGCTGAGGCATGGCATGGGGCAGAACACAGCTCCATACAGCGCTCAGCCATGGGGAAGGGGCGTGCGGTGCACTGCCCTGGGTGGGCGTTGCTGCTGGCCGAGGATGCCGGGGGCAGCGGGATGGTCTCGCTCCCTCTCTGTCCCCACGCCAGGGCCCAGAAGTCTGGTGGTCTGGGTGGGAGGAGAGGGCATGTGGGCGGGCTGGTGACAGGTACAAAGAACTTTGCTCCAAAAGGCAGAAGAAAACTAATTTGCTATTAACCGAGGACCCTTGATCAACCAAGCCACTCACTGTTGCGGGCTTCGCATCCTCAGTCACCCGGGGGGAGGATGGCCACTGTCCCACCCACCCCGCACTGCCAGGAGGTAGGGTGAGAGAAGGCCAGGAAGGCGCAGGGCAGGCTGGTGGACAGGCTGGGCACGTAAGTGGCCCTGCCCGTCCGGCGTGGAGACAGGGAGGGTGTGGATGCCGAAATCGCCCTCTGCGGCCACGGTGCTCACAGAGGTGGCCGTCTTTTCAGGTGTTAAAGGAAGTTGACAGCGACATGTTTGTGGACGTGGGGGTGTGAGAATAGACGGATCTGTGTGCTTGAGGCTTGTGAATGTGCATGTGTGGGTGGGGCCCGTTCACAAACACACTGACTGCAAGTCCACTGTGGGCTGAGCACCGAGACCGGTGGTAGAAAGGAAACGCGAGACAGACGTGAGCTCTTCCTGCAAGGAATTTATAGTCTCACGGGGAAAAGAGGGCCCATACAAGTGAAAAATGACTAACACAAGAGAGATAAAGGCAGGTGACTAAGGAAGGCCAACAGAATGTTAAGTGGGTGCCTCAGAGGAGTGGGAGAGGGCAGGTAGGGTTGGCTGAGAGGAGACAGCCTGAGGCCGTGCCGGCTCCAGACCTGGGGAGGGGAGCCTCGGCCTCTGGGGCACACAGTTAGTGACCCCAGGCCCATGCTCTCCAGAGGGCGCCATACCGGGTCTGCGCCCTCCAGCGCTCCCCTCTCTTTGGGCTGAGGTGGTGCTGGAGCGGTGTGAATATCTCCCTGCTCTACCTCTGGGAGCCTCCCTGGGCGACACAGCCAGGGGCCAGGACTCGGTCCACGAGGTTCACTTCTGTGCCGGCAGCTCTCGCAGCTCCTGCAAGGTGCCTTGTCCTCAGGGCTCCGGGCATTGTCCGGGTGAACGTGAACAGCATTTGTGAAACACGCCAAGCGTGGCGGGAAAAACGGTGTGGACAGGAGGGAGTGGTGTACAGGCAGCAGGAGGGAATGGGAAGCTAAGACGTCATAAACCATAAGCAAGAGAATTAGGGGTCCTCTTCCAGAACCCTTGCCTTTTGGGTAGTCCCAGAAGCCCAGGACCAGATTGAAGGTCCACCTGCTCGGTGGTTGAAGGACCACCGAGAAGTGGGTGGGGGTGGCGGGCAAGTGGAGCCTGCTCGCCTGCTCCCTCCGTCTGTCTGGCTAGACTTGGACCTGGGGAGAGCGCGGTTAGCTGGGAGCAAATCTGTTCAGGATGACTCCGTGGCAGACCAACTAGTCTAACCCCTTATCTTGATGATGTAGAAATCGAGGCCCTAGGATGTGAGGTGGCTTGTCTCAGGTCACACGGGAGTGTGGGTGCCAGCATCTCCCATTGGCTGACCCCACGTATGTTGTCCTGGAGTAGAAGAACAAACAGGTACCCTGGACAGGGTTTCAGCCCCTGGATCTGAGCAATATGCCCCTGCCCCGCCCCCACCGAGTCATACAAGTTCAACTGAAATAATCTCACGTTCTCCTCTCATCCTAAACCTGTTATTATACCTAAGCCCCAGGGTGGGGAAGCGGCCCCACAGGACTGGGGCAAGTTAACTGTCCTCCATGAATCCCCTCCACCTGGCTCCTGCACACTGGCCTGTCCCCTCTGCTCTCTGGAAGGTGTTCCTGCCTGCTTATCCAGCGACACAGTGGCTGCTTGCACCACTCACACCCCAGGACACACCGCTCCTTCCACAGATGCCTTCCCACGGAAAGAAAACTAGACCGAGCCAACCCCCCGGGCCTGTGCCCTTTGGCAGGGCCTCACATCCTGGCCCCCGGAGGGCTGGCCCAGCCCGGGGCCCTGGGAGTCCCCTAAGCTCTGTGCAGGTGCTTTAGAGGGCGCCAGGCCTCTCAGAGCTCTCGAGTTGTGCAAGGGCCGCTTGTGCTTTTGCAATCAGCCCTGCGTGTGTCTGAGCCAGGCACCCCCACGCCTCCTGGTGCCTGCCGTTCTCTCCTTTGGTCAGTTCTGCCCACCGCTCCAGGTTAGTCAGCTCTGAGGAGGGGTTGGGGCATTTCTTCCCCCGTGGGAACCAGCTAGTGGCTGTCCCTGGCGCCCGCCACAGTTGCACCTCTGCCGGGGCTTCCACAGCCTCCCTCCGATTTCTTCTTTCGTCACGCCATTCTGCCCCCTTGCAAGCCGTGCTCCTTCTCCCTTCTTTTTTTCCTTTGTACATCTTTGCACCTGCAGCTTTCCCAGCCCAGAGCTCCCTCCGCTCTCTCCTTCACTCAGGGATTCAAATCTCCTCCTTTCCCAGCTCAGACCCCACCTGCTCCTCCGAGCCGCAGGGCGGCACAGGCTTGCAGCTCTTCTAGATCCACCCCTCATTTTCTAGATGAGGAAACTGAGGCTCAGAGAGGTTAGGTGGTTTGCTCCTAAGCCAGATCACTAGCTAGAGACTGGAATCCAGATGTTCTCACCCTGTGGTAAGATACCTTTGCACCTTTTCTGGCTGACAAGGGCAGGTGTCCTGGAGGGAAGGGGATCTTCGGAAGGAAAAAGACTGTCCCTAAGTCTACGCATTCTCCAGTTGTCCCAACCACCAGAAACACACAATTAAGTGCTTAATTATTAGATAGCTGCTCTGCATTGTTACTTTAGTGTTTCCAAAGTCGACTGTAAGCCCCTGGAGGGCAGGGGACAACTCCCGGTGCCACCCTGGCCTCTCCACAGCCTCCAGCACAGCGTGGAGCCTGTGGAAGGCACCACACAGTGGGACCTGTGCCCTGGCCGCAGCTTTATTTGGAAAGATAGTTCTCCCACCTCCATTTCTGGTGGTGAGCAAAACAGCGCAGAAGCCAAAGGGACTCTGCCCAGATGCAAGTCCAGTTCCTGAATGTTCAGGTAGATGAAAGGTGGGTGGCAGTGGGGTGCACAAGAAACCCCGGTGTTGGCAAAGATCCAAAAGGGCTAATGGTAGGTTACAGGCCCCACAAGTCTCCAGCATCCTCACCTGCTTCCTTTCACAGGACCAGCGCGCAGGCCGCTGCGCTTTCTGGGGGTGGGCTGCAAGTAGACCTCGGCCCAGCGCGGCAGGGTTGACCGTGTCTTTGGCACACACCCTCCCTCCTTTGCCCTCTTCACTGCTCCCCCTGGCGTTGCCGGATGCTCTCCTCTTCCCCTCCATCCGGCCCTCAGAAAGCACTTGATCCAGTGAGGGGCTGCTTTAGGGGACTGTCTGAGCCCTGTCCTGTCCAGAGCACAGCACTGGGACCCTGAGGTCTAACGTGGGACTCAGAGGTAACGCTTTACTTCATGAGACTCCCACGTGTGGGGGCGAGGTGGGCTCAGGTGCTGATTCCCAGTCGCAGAAACCGGGTGGAAGGGGCTTCAGGACGTCTTAAGCGAGATGGGGATTCAGACACGTGGAGAAATTGATTTTGGCCTGGGCAAGTTGCGTTTCTTCCCCATCTTTCTTTGTATCCAAACCTCAGCGCGTCTTTGGCAAAGCTTCTGAAGCAGATTCACAAACTGGCAAGGTGCTGAGGGTGCTGGGGAAGGTTCACCAGAGGAAAGGTTGCCCTGGGTCCGCTTCCAGGGCCGCTGGAGCCTTCTGTGATTGGCGGCCTCTGCCTAACACACCCAAAGGCTCCGCAGCTCAACCAGGGCCTTTCTGGGCCCCGCACTCCTCTCCTCTGGGGCCTCAAGCGATAGGAAGGCTGGTAACAATGCCTTCGTGGCTTCCCAGTGAGGAGAGGTTGGTCTGGGTCACTGGGTGAGAGGAAGTGGCTGACGACACCTGACTACCCACTGGCCCTCCTGCCGGTCTGGGAGATGTGCATTTCGTTCTCTCAAGTCGGCATTTGTGTGTTCCCCATTGTATCCCCTTCCCTCAAGTGGGGGTGGTGGTAGAATGTGCGTGATTTGCCTTGTTTCCCATTCTCCTGAAGAGGAAACTGAGGCCCAGAGAGGGGCTGAGGCTCACATAGTACCAGGCGAGTCATTTGTGGCATTACAGTGGCCAGGGGTCTGTGGCTCTTCCTGCCCCCCTGTCCTGGAGTAAGAGTGAGGCCAAGAAGGCTGGGTGAGCCATTAGGGAGCAGAGGAGGGAGGGGTCCTCTCCAGAGTGCCAGGAGGGTGGCTCAGAGAGCTGGGGGGCCGTGGCTGGGCAAGACTCTGCCCCACCACTGAGGTGGCACCAGACAGACAGAGCAATTAAAGACCAATGAAGACAGACTGGCAGGGTGGCATTCCAGGGCCCTCCTGCCCAGGTCGGACTCAATTATAGGGTACAATTACTTGCAGAAGTGTTGTGGGTAGCTGCCTGCACATGCCATTTGGGGCTGCGGGAGGGAAGCTTCTCTCCCTGGCTCAGTTTCTCCCTTTGGGACCTGCCCTTATAGACCCCTCCACCCAGACAAAGCTACCATCTTGGTCTATGGGCCTTACTTCTGTCCAGAGACCATATCTGATGCCAGCTTTTCCTTTAGGACACGCCTTCCAGTTTCCCCCCAAGAAACACCACTTTTTGACCTTAGCCTTCAAGGCTCATGGATAGAGGTCAAGGTCCCAGTAACTCTTACTAATGCATGGAGTATCCAATCCATCCCAGAATTTACCCTGGCTTTGAAGGACAGGAAGGCCTTACCTGGACTTACGGTTTCTTGTGGAAGGAGAGAGATGTTCTGTGTTGTCAGAATGTAGATGAGGAACTGGTAGCGGTGGAGGCCAGTTCGTGGTGGTGGGGTGGGAGGCTGGTAGGCTACGGGCAGAAAAAGGGAGAGAGGGTGGGCTCCACAGGCCACAGGACCCCAGAAGCTCTTGGCTGCTCTGGGCAGGAGGGAAAGAGAGTCATTTGTGCCGTTCCCTGTCCCAGCTGACCCCCTGGCATCCCAGATGGGGGCTCGCCCACTGCAGACCACTAGGGTTTGTCTTCGGCAGCACCTCTTTGTCAGTAGCTTCCTTTAAGAAGCATGTTTTTGAAGGTGGTGGGGGAGGAGGAGCTGTGATCTCTTTGAAGGCCTCAGGTGCTGGTGGGCACCTGGGCCTTTCTGGGCCAGTGGGTATTCTTCTCTCTCTCTCTCTCTCTTTTTGCTTTAGTCTATCCTGATGGGTTTCCTGCCTTGAGAAAAACCCATCTTCCTCTGAGTACATTTGGCAGTGGGTTTTTATTTATTTTTTCATCATTTCCTTATGAACTCAATCCCCAAAGAACCAATTTCTTGGCTGGATCCAGAGGATCTGGAAGTGGTTACGGGGGTGGGTAGGACTCGGTTCAAAGGTTTGATCATGGAAGCTGTAAGACCTGGGTGCTTGGGGCGATGGGAACCAGCTCAGGCTCTTCCGGAGAAGGCCGTCTCTCTCCCTTTCACTCTCCGCATAGGAGGCAGATCTTTTCTGGGGGGAAGATGGAGGAGGGATATCTCAATTCTTCCCCAAGACTCTGCAGGGCTCCGGGGCTTTGCAGGTCAGACCAGGCTGTCTCAGCCAGGCCTACTTCCAAGAGTGCTGTGCCTCTTTCTCCTCCCTTGGCTCTCTTCATCTCCCTCTCCAAGGAGCCAAAAATCTTCCTGGGGGTGGGTGGGGATGGAGTGTTTGCAGTGAGGAGGCTGGTGGGAGGGAGTATTGGTACTTTATGGCCACCTCCCTCCCCCGACCATCAGACAAGAGCCACTTGCTGCTGACGCTGGTGGAGGGCTCCTCAGGCTGCCCTTCCGGCCCCGGGGCCTCCCGCCTGGCCGCAGCCAGGGGATTTCCTGACTATTCATCTCTCCCTGAATTTTTGGATTGCATCAGATGTGTGTGTGTGTGTGTGTGTGTGTGTGTGTGTGTGTGTGTTCGGAGTGAGAACAGTACAGGGCGTTCCAGGAGCCATGTGGGTTTGTGTGACTTGGGGTCTACATGGGGCAGGTGCATGTGTGCTGTGGCTGTTTTGGGGGGGGTCTCTGTCAGTATGGGTAAGTCAGCGTTTTCTCAGAAACGCGGCCAGCACTGAGAGAGACTTCTGGGCATAGGTGGGTGCCACAGTGTCTCTGTATTCGTGGTGTGTGGCTGGGCCAGCTTTGGGCATGGCAGGAGGGTGTGTGGGTGGCCAAGTGCACGTGAGGGTGGCTGTGTCCCAGCTGCCAGAGACCGGGGACAGTGACTCATGGGGTAAGGCTGGAGTTGTAACCCATTGGTTTTATGCAGCTGGCAATTGTCCTCAGGGAGATGCAGACTGAATCCCTTTCACTAGGAGGCTTCCCCGAAGACTCCCCCTCTGGAAGTGAGAGGAGAGGCATGGGGAGGAAGAGAGGGACATACAGGTAGGACCAGTTCTCGGGGTCAGGCCCTGGCCAAGTGCTTCCCTCATGACATCTCTTTGACCCTCCCCACAGTCTGGTAGGCTAGGGTGGGCACTGCCATTTTCTCTGTGGGTAGACTCAGGCTCTGGGAAGTTGAGTCAGGCCGACACTGAGTGGCAGAGCTGTGGTTTGAATCTAGGCCCTGCTGGTGCCTGAGCCATGTTGATTTATCGAACCATGACGCTCCATTGGTCGTTTCGCTCAGCCCTTAGCCGGAGGCCAGCCCGCCCCCTGAGCGCTCCCTGTGGGTTGTGGAGGGCTTGCTCTGGCTGTCGGGATCTGAGGGGAGGGGGAGCTGGTGGCGAGGATGGGCTGAGGAGGGGAGGCATCAGAGAAGAGGAAGGTCTAGCAGACACTCTGTGGAACTCAGGGCAGGAAACCAAAGAGTCTGGCAGCAGGGGGGAGTGACCCCGTCCATTGCTCCAGGAGAGCCCTGCACTAATGCTGGTGACATCGCACTAGCTGTGTGACACAGGGCTGTTGGGTCTGCGTCTCGCTTTCATTCTTTGTACAATAGAGATGTTGATGACAGCGACTTTAAAAGGAAATGGTGAAGATGAAATCAGAGTGTACATGTAAACTCTTGTATCAGTGTATTGTGCACTGTGAAGTCTCAACATGGAGCGGCATCGCTGCCTGGCCAGCGCCGTCTTTGCCCTGACTGAGGGAAGGGGCCTCACAGGGTCTTACTCACGCGATAACTCCTGACCCTGTATCTTCCCCATCTTCATGTTAGTGCCCTGAAACGAGAGATGGGAGTGAGTGGGAATGGGTTAATCCTGGACGGAGGGGGCAGAAGACACGCGGCTGCTTCGGGGAGACATTGTGGGGACGAGCTGTGGGGTTCAGAGAGGTGTCTCAGGGGATCCAGGGACAGAAGACAGACACGGATGTGACGGAGGGTGGCTGGGTGGCAAGGGGTGGACCCTTGACCTCCAGAGGGGCCTGAGAGGACCCTTCCCGATGGGCCGGCTGCCCCATTCTTGCCATTTATGCCCTGAGACTGGACACAGGACATACTCTCAGCCTGTGGGGCCTGGTCAGATCTGAGGCAGGGTGGGCAGTCCTCAGGCTTTGCTAAGCAAGACCATCCTTCAGGCCTTCAACACAGGAGGCCGGCGATGGCCCGGAACAACCAGAAGAAGGGCTGGGGCAGGCGGAGAAGGCTGAATTCTGAGGCTGCTTCTTCCCCGGCTTCCATGGAACTCAGCCCTTACTCTGCAGGAAGATTCTGTGGCTGCTGGGACAGCCTCAGTTTCCCTCCGTCTTTTTCTTCCCCTCTCTCCTCCCCTCCGCTCAATGTCTGTGGGATAATGAGGCGATTCTGGGGGCGGGTGCTAATTAATGTTTGTGCATGACTGGGAGATGCTCAGATGAAAGGGACTGGAGCCGGGCTCCTGGGTCCGTGCCACAGCTCGGGGCCCCGGGCCATGCCAGGGCGCCCTGCGGCCCCTAGGTGTGGGGTTTTACAGTCTTAATGACGGTGATTAGCGCCACTCCTCATTGATTCTGCCAACACCTAACTGTGTTCTGGACACCTTTCCACCAGGCCCCTGCTCCTCCCCCCACAGAGGTTCTCGGAGGGGGGGCGGGGTGTTCAGGGTGGCCTTGGAGGGGTGGGGCTAAGTGGTAGGGGCTATTGAAGGGGAGCATGAGATTTCCCCTCAGTTCTCTGTGGAACATACCAGGGTCAGCCTGGTGACCCAACCTTTAGACCAGTTTACTTTTCAGAAAACTAAAGGCCTGCCGCCCTGTTCTAGAAGGCCCCATCTCTCCCCTTTAGGCGGCAGCTTGCCTGCCCACTGTTCTCCCTGTGGGCCTCCTTTGGTCTGGATGGACCTGTCCACCTCTGCCCTTCCCACTTTGCTTTCTTCACCCCAGGTAGGTGAGGTCTTACTCTCTTTGGACATCCTTCCGCCTCTCTCACCCCGGTCTTGTCTGCTTGGGGGTGTCCAGGCGGCCCTCGAGTTCAGGCCCTCAGACACAGCAGAACACACTCTGGCCTCGCCCTGGCCGTTTCTCAGCTCAGTCCCCTGGCTCCTCCAGGGTCGGGCCTTGCCTCGTGAGGGACTGGCAGGAAGCCCAGGGGTGGCAAGGGGCTGAGATGCTGTGGGTGCCAAGGTTGGGGGAAGGGCTGGGGAATAGAGGCTCCTCGAGACTCATCTCTCCTGGGAGAGGAGCTAAGGGCCTGAGGCCCAGAAGCCAGTCTCCCAAAATAGCTCTCTGGCCACCTTAGCAAGATGGAGAGAAGGCGGCAGAGCCCAGGGAGGCCCGGCCCAGCCCAGCCTGGCCCAGTGGGTCTCTGAGCTCCCCACTTCGCCTTCATTCCTTTTCAAGTCAGTCCAGCCAACGGTTTGTTTAAACACAACAATAGCAACCTAAGCTGGCTGTTTCTTTTCAATTCCCCACTGGCTTGGGTCCCACCCAGAGTGATAAACAGGCCTCTCTCCTCTGTGTGGTGTGGGAGGGGTGAGGGTGGGGGCTGGGCCTGTAAGGTCAGGGAGTTAGTGTGTGCAGAGGCCGTGGAAAGTCTGATTTTCAGCCTCGATCAGGGTGGGAAGGCTCTCCTCCCCACCCTTTCCCTCTGGAGAGTCTTTTCTCATCAGCTGGGGCCAGCTTGGCAAAGATGGGTGCAAACCTAGGAACTCGCTATGGAAAGCCCGCAGCCCTTCCTGCTGTCGTCCCTGGGCCCGCTGCCCCTGGGCTCAGCAGAGGCAGCTGCTGGGGGCCCTGAGCAGAGAGCTTTAATGGCCTTCAGAAGCTTTCAGGTCTCTGGAGCTTGCCATACAGGCAGGCGCTGGTCCTTGCTGGGAGGAAGAGCAAGGAAGGAAGGCTCTGAGGAAGGGCCACGTGTGTGGTCAGTGTGGCTGCTATCGACTATCGTTGGGGTGAGCACCAGCTACATTCCCTTCCCTTACTGGTCTGTCCTGGCTGTTGGGTGGGGGAGCTAAATTCTGCCATAGAATCAATGCCTGGGAGGAGGCTTAGGAAACCAAATTCAAAGGGTGAAAAAAATGAGCCCCCAAAGAGGTCAAACTACTCATCTAGAGCCTCGAGATGAGCAAGTGGGAGAATCCCAGAATGTTCTAAGGAGGAAGGACCCTTAGACCCTTTGACTTTGAGACCTGCTAGCTCAGGGTCTTACGCCTTTTGACCCATGGTCCTGCCTTGTGCTGCATTTTTGTTGTGTGTTTTTTTCAGTTTGCATCTTCTTTTGTGCTTATTCTATGACACTGTGACAATCCTATTGCCTTTCTAGGAGGCACTGAAAAACCACGAGTATTAAAATACCTAGATATTACCAGGGGCTCTGATAGAAATGGTCGCCACCCCACACATGAGCTCTCCTGAAGCATCCTTGTGGATTGCAGGATCACACTTAGCCTGCAGTCACCTTAGAAAGCTGGATGTCTCTGGGGGATGGATGAAATTCAGGGATGTTTCCAGAGGAGAGAGAGGGAGAAATCTGTCCTGAGCACTTCCCAGGTAGTGTAGACTGGACTGAGTGAGGTAGGTGTCCTGAGGGTAGAAGATGAGCCCCACATTTGAGGGACAGACCCCAAACCTGTGAAGTCTGAGCCGAGAGGAGCTTCAGAAGGAAGGCCTGCAGGGGGGCAGGGGCTGCCGAGAGCTTCCCCGAGCCTTGCTGCCACGCCCGGCCCCCACCCCAGCCCCCAGGTTGCTGCTCCTCTTTAAGAAGAGGCTGGGGCACAGACAAATCCTCTTTTCCCTTACTGCAGCCGAAACAGGTTGACATTTTTGAAAGGAACTTGTCTAAATGCTAAGGTGAACAAAACCCCAACAATCAGGAAATAATTGCAGAAAGTACAAACTGTGTAGAGAGAACTTTCAGACCATCTGGACCACCAAGGGGCCCAGGACAGTTTTGCAGGCTTCGGGACAGGCACACTCTGGGCTCTGGGCCTGGAGTTGGCCTGGGGCCTCCTAAGTGCCAGGGACTGGACGGCCATGAGAAGGCAGCTCATTTCCTTATCAGCATCCTCTGGAAATGGGGGGCCTGATACTCCTTACCCTACCAGTTAGGGGAGGGGAGGGGAGGAGAGGCGGAAAACTGCGCACTAGGACCCTTAAATGCTCACGATTTATAAAAATAGTCTCACGTTTTTTTTTAGAAGTTGGTCCCCAGTTCACGTGTGTACGTGTGTGTGTACATGTGTGTGGGCACATGGGTGACTGCTTGGCGTAGAAATTGGCACAAATTATTCCAGTTGCAGAGAAGGAGCTCAACCCTATGGACACTTTGGAGAAATTTCTGGGTTCATAGACCCTGAGGTTTGTTCTCCCCGACCATGGAACCTACTGCTTCTCTGTGCAGATGGTTTGGAACTGGCCTGAGAGATGCTTAGGAAAAGTTGGGACTCAGCTGAGTCACAGCAGCTTTGTTCTTGGACCGCAGTGATGCAGACGGTCTTACCAGCCGTGTTCCGACGGACATATCTCAGGTCAAGTAGAAAACACAGTGACAGAAACTGGGCACCTGCCCCACCACTGTGACCTGACCTAGGTAATGAGCTTTCAGTGTTTGTTCCCTCAGGGCACTGCCCAATGGATGGACTTAACGGTAGGTCTCGAATGGGAAGGGCAGAGGTCCATCTCCCCATCTGAGACGACCGGAGAAGCCTCCCAAGGGTGGGGGCTACATCCTGCCCATGTGTGTAGCCTATAAGATGCTTTGCACGTGGTTGGGGTGGTGGGCACTCCCAGCGAGCTGGCCCGTCCCCTGACCCTGGCTGTGTCAGTGCCTATGGCTCCACTTCCGACTGCCGCCCCTGGCCTCCAGAGCCCTCCGCACCACCTGCGCGGTGGGCCAGACACGCTGTGGTAGTAACAGGCCCTGGCAGTAGCTCTGAGCCAATGGCTGGTGGGAGCTGGTGCGTGAATAGATACTTCAGCCCCTTGCCTTCTGGGGGATGATGGCCAAGCAGTATATTTCACACTGGCTGTGGGTACCCAGAGTGGAACATGATTGGTCATGAATTTTGATTTGGCGTCTTTATTTCCCTGTCTTACCCACTCCCTTACTGGTGCCTCCCCTGTGTCCCCTTGAAAAGAAACTATTTGTGCCCTGGCCGGTGTGGCTTAATCAGCTGGGCATCGTCCTGCAAGCTGAAAGGTCACGGGTTTGGTCCCTGGTCAGGGCACCTGTGAGAGACAACAGATTAATGCTCTCTCGCACATCAGTGTTTCTCTCCCTCTCTTTCTCCCCCTTTTTCCCTTACTCTAGATTCAATAAAGAAAAAAACAGAGAAAGAAAATAAACTACTCGCATGAGAGTCTCAGGGTCTGCTGCTGGGAGAGGGCCTGACGGACATTCCAGGGATGAAGAGAGAGGCGCGGGGCCTCTGTCCACGCCGTCACAGGGAGTTAGCCTCAATGCCGGCATGGGAGTCTGTGCTCCCAGCCCTCTGTCCCGGTCTCCTTACACAGGAACACACTGCAGCCACCTCCGCCAGGACTCCCTGCCCTCCAGGCCCCAGAGCTCCCTGATAGAATGGGTCCCGATCTCTCAAGCCCTTAGAGAACTACAAACAGATCTGTTCTTTGTTTCTCGTCCTCATGGACAAGAAAGCCAGACTGCTATATTTTCTGAGAACTGAGGGTCCACAGACACCCCTCGCCTCCCCATGCGAGGGGGCTGCTTCAGATAAGGGCCCTTTGGGACATGCTGGCCAGGCTTCTGGAGGTCTGATGGATGGGGAAGGGGCCTTCCTGGCCCAGT